ACACCAGGCCCTGGATCCCTTGCCAGCATCACAACAAAAAAACAAAACTGCTTGTGGCCAGAGTAGCACCCACGGCAGTGGTATCTGCCGAGCACTTTCCATGTGCCCGGCACCATCTGCCCTGTCGCTGACTTCCTGGAGCTGACATCTGGGCCGTGAGAGCAGCAAATAAGCAAGCGCAGCAGTCGCAGGCTGCAGTCTTAGCTTGTCTAACGCCAGGACCGCGTCAGGGTGCAGAATCGCACGGGGCAGCCACTCGCAGATGTTGGGTTTGGAATCCTCGATGCCGAGGCGACAGTCACACGACAGGTGGGCGGGAGCCACCGGTGATGGGCAGCAGGGCTGGAGCAGCTCGGTGCCCACGGCGCTCTGGGCAACTTAGTGACTGGGTGAATCCGTCCCAAAATAAAATATGAAAATGGACTGGGGATGTAGCTCAGTGCAGAGGCTCTAGGCCTAATCCCCAGGAGCAGGGAAGAGAAGGAATGCAGAAGCGGGGAGGGGAAGGAAGGAAGAGGAGGAGCATCCCTGAGGCAAAGGCTGTGCGGGCTGGGACAGAGGGAGCAGTGATGGAAAAGACAGGGCACAGGAGGAGCTGAGACCTGTGCGCAGGTAAAGCGGACCATATTGCTGAGTTACTGAATACAGATGGCCTCAGTCATCTTGATATAGTCGTCGGGTGTGCCTCTTTTCACTTTGCAAACCCTCACGTAGAGTGATGGTTGTGGGCCGCAGGTGATTGCCCCTCCCTGAAACGCTTGGTGATGTCTGGGGACATTTTTGGGGTTTTGGAGGTGCGACTGGTATTGGGTGGGTAGAGGCCAGAGATGCTGCTAACGCCCTGCAGCGCACACCTGCAGAGCGAGGCTGTGCACAGGTGCGGGAGGGTTAGAAGAGAGGGGCCTGCACAGAGCGCAGGAACTGGCCCAGGCCTGAGGGGAGCAGCAAGCAGGGGCAAGGGCTTTGTCCTGGGAACAGCAGGGAGCTACAGAGGGATCCTGACCAAGGGTAGTGCAGTCGTCTTTGCATTTTGGAAAGGGGCCTCCAAGAGGAGCGTGGGGCGGGCAGGGAGGCTGTGGAGAGGCCTTTCAGACCATGTCCAGGTGAGACACTCGGCCCTGTAGGACGGAGAGGTAGACGCACCTCGGGCCCACGCGCTTGCCTTCTCTCCTCACCGTGCGTCTGCTGCTCGATTACACCATAACCCTCACAGCCATGTAGAGCTTCTTCTATTTCCTGGCACGCGTGGGTGACGCATTCCAGGGCAGTGGCCTTCAAGTCATTTTCAGAGTGCCCTGGCCACAGAAGAAAGGCTTCGGGCCTTGACCCCAGAACCTCAGATTCTGCAGCACTCACGCTGCCTGCTCCAACAGGACACTGCGGGGAAGGCGGCAGCTGCCCAGTTGGGGCCATGGCCTGCCTTGCTTTGGCTTTGTACTTTTGTTGTCATTTTACTTTTAAATGTTTTTCTGTAGACAGAAAGACAGGCTATGTTAGTTCCTGCAACTGAAGTACCGCTGGTTTGGGCGGATTCCTGGTGCAGGCGGTATCCCCTGGGGTCTCCCACATGCTCTGCCCCGCCCGCATTGCCTCTGCCAGGATGCCCTCCTCAGGCTGCCTCTCCCTTTGTGACAGCAAGACTGTCCCCAGCAGCCCCAGGCCCCATCCGGTCCTGCAAACCCACAGGGCACTGCCCTGAGCAGCTGGCTTTTCCGCTACACCACAGCAAAGCATTGGGTCTGGAGGGTTCCGCTATGCCCCAGAGGAAACAGGAGCAACAAATTGGCTGGGTCCAGCCACACCCCTTAGGAAATAGGAATTGATTGGCCGGGTCTGGCCACACCCCTTAGGAAATAGGAACTGATTGGCCGGGTCTGGCCACACCCTGTCCTCCAATTACCGGAAGAGGACCTGGATACTGGGCTGCTCAAAGCACCACCTGATCCCGGCCGGGTCATCCCTCAGGGTGCAGAACCCTCCTTGGGAGTCACTTGTGCAACCACAAGCTTGGACAGCTCCACACTGGGAGAGACAGCAGGGGCTTATTTGAAAAATCCTTCCAGTGGCTTCCTGGATGGTAACAAGGCAACCCCGCCTGGCATTTCCCCATGGCACTGTCGTTTTCGTACGCGCAGGGTACCCAGCATTGGGTTGTTTCCTCTGAGACTCTTGCCGTACCTCCTGTACCACGACTCCAGCTGGCAGGTTGCGGATGCCCTGGTGATGTTTGTGGAGTTAACGACCTAGGGAGACGGCAGCCTGGCAGAAGCTTGCTCCTACCCCCAGAGGCCGTCTTAACCAGGGACCGTCGCTTCCCAGCTCACGGGGTGCTCAGCGAGCCACAGCTGACGGCTTGGAGTTCTGGTTGTGGTTGTGCCTGGCAGTTTCTCTGGGCTCAGGAGAAGTCTTGTCCCTTGATGACCCGTACCTCTCTGGTATCTTTGCCTCAGTATGTCCATTTTTATGCCACTTCTTTAGGTCACCCGTGGATCTCTGTCTTACAGGGTAGAGATGGCACCAATGTCGCTTCCGGCCTGAAGGCTGGGGCCGCAGGGTGCTAAGCCCTGGCACACCCAAGGGCTCCAAACTCGCGGCTCGCCTCACCCAACACTGCAGTGGCAGCTCAGAGGGGCCGGGTTTTGGGACCCGAGACGAGGTGTCAGGAAGTCCCGTGAGCTGCAGGTCATGGGCTGAGCCAGGGGAAGAGGGCCCTGGGCGACCCTTGGCCGTTGAGCAGCTGACCGCAGACCCGGCCCTCAGCTTCCTTCACCGCTGCCCCACCCTCTGTGTCACTCTGCTCAGCAGACTGCGCCTGTGACGTTAAACAAAGGTGTGCCTCGTCCACAGAAGCCCTGTGGCGAAGGGACAAGCAGTCCTGTGTGTGCCACAGGGCTTGCAGCAGGCGAAGGGAGGAGTTGGTGGGGTGAGAGGCTGGACTTTGGACTCAGACTCTGGTCCGCAGCTCGCCCAAGCACTTATTAACAGGGGAGTGTGGGCAGCTCAGGGCACCTCGCTCAGCCCGGGGCCACATCTGGAGCGTGGGGTGGTCACAGCTGTTCAAGGAGACGATGTGAGACGGCCCGGCCGGGACTGCTCGTCCCACGCCTATGAGCTGTTCTTGTTGTGCCCTGGCCCTCCTGTGATGTGTGTAACCCCAGTCTGTAACAGAGGCGCAGGGTCTATGTCTGGGGACCCCAGAAGCTCTGAGAGCTGGACTCTGAGACATCTGTGGGGATTCTTATCCTGAGGACCGTCTGTGCAAAACCAGTGATCCCCTGACTGTACAAGCTTGGCCTAGGCCTTAATGTCCCTCCTGCCAGTGATTAACCCTAATCTCAGAACCAGGGACTGTGTTACCTCATGTGGTAGAGGACTTTTGAACACGTGATCACATCATGGATCTTGAGATGAGATTTCTGGGGTCACTTGGTCAGCAGGACACAGTCTTCAGGGTCCTAGTAAGTGGGGCTGAGCCCAGAGTCGGAGGGTGCTCTTGGGGGACGGAGGAGGGACCTGGAGGTCTCTAGGAGCTGGGAAAGGGAAGGTAAGGGGTTTCTCCCCTGAGGCCCCAGAAGGAGCACAGCCCTCCTGATGCCTTGATTGCAGGTTTCTGACCTTCAGAACTCTAAGAGAATAAGTCTGGGTTGCTTTGGGCCACTGTGCTTGTGGTCATTTATTACAGCGGCAGCAGGAGGCTGACACAGCCCTTCGCAGGGGAGGGGCTGTAACTTCGCTATTTTCACCTGTGTGTATCATCAGGTTATGAGCACTTGCTGGTGCAGGTGTCCCACCTGGCCCCTGGACACCCCTGCTGGTGCCACTACAGCCCTTTCCTGATCCTCCTCCTCCTCCTTCTCCTCTTCCTCCTCCTCCTCCTCCTCCTCCTCCTCCTCCGGCCTCCATGCTCCTATATGACATATCTGAAATGTAGCCACATTTTTCAGCAGTGATTTCTTATCTGGAAAGGACTTGGAATTTCAGAGCAGGCTGCCTTGGGTTCCTAAGTTAGGGCCACCACAGTAGTCCACAGAGTATTCATTCAACAAACATCTATCAAGCTTCTCCTGCACAGGCCTGGCCTGGTCCAAGAATTCAGGCCCCCAAGAGCTACTGGTCTACCTCAGTATTACCCAGGAAGAAGATACTGTGACCCCAGAAATGATTTTAAATTTCCTGACAGCCACAGCTTTTTTAAAAAGGGCAAAGAAACAGGCCAATTTTTAATAGTGTATTTAACTAAATCTCTCCAAAATGCACCATTTCAACATGTAATTAACATTTTGTTGTTTTTTTGAGCTAGCATCTTGCTACGCTGGCCTTAACCTCACTGTGAGGTCCAGACTAGCCTCAAACTCACGATTCTCCTGCCTCAGCCTCCCAAATGCCGAGATTATAGGCATGCACCACCACACACGCCTAGCATCATGTCATTAATATTAAGAAGCTCTGGAGATAGCCTTCTGTCCTACGACAGAGGGAAGGCTGGGCTGCATCTCACAGTCCGACAGCACACGGCAGCACCGCCTGGCCACCTTTCAGTTCCCCACTGCCCCAAGCGTCTGGCAGTGGCTGCCCCAGATGGCTGCTGGGAGTGGCACCGGTGAGTCACCAGGGACTCAGCAGCTCCTTCTCTGTCCCTTGGCCCAGATCCACTGTGGTCACTCTGGTCACCGTGCCATCTCGCTGAATCTGGTCTTGTTTCTCCCTTGCTCTCGCTGGCTCTAGATCAGACCTGGTACATGCAGAAGGAGCTTGATAAGTGTTTGTCGTGTGAGTGAACAGGACAGCTCAGTGGCTTCTTGTAGCCAGGCTGCTGCATTTTTTTGCAGGTTGGAGAAGGTCTGGGCCTCAGGTCAGAGGATGAATCAGTCCGTGACATTGTCACCAGTGGCTGGCATGGAGCCCCTCTCTTGCTCTGGTTTTGGTTTTTTGTTTTTCAGACAGGGTCTCGCTGTGTAGTTCAGGCTGGCCTTGAACTCACTATGGACCCCAAACTCACTGCAATCCTCCTGCCTCAGCCTCCCGAGTGCTGGGGTTATAGGCGTGCGCCACCACGCCTGGACCTCTTGTTTTGCTGTCACCGTCATTATTTTACTGAATTTTCCCTTCCCCACTCTTCTTCTCCTTCCCTCCCCGGGGTGCTGCCCCCACCATTTAACATGTGTTTTGCTTGCTGTGGTTTTGTGCCTGTGCCTCCAGTTGGCAGCTGTGGTGTCCAGTATGCCTCATCCTCACTTGTCCATCTCGCCCCTACTTCTCTCTCCCGGCACCGTTGTCTTCCTGAATGCACTGAGGCTCTCTCTGCCCAGAGTTTGTCCCCAGTTGGCTCATCTGTGGGATAGTCCTGTGAACCGGCTCCCCCTTGCTCTCTAGAATGTTCTCGCTCCTTTCTGTCTCATCAGCCCTCTTGGCCTCGGAGCTTGCCTCACGCTTGACACACAGCCTGTCGCTGTCCTCGTATCCACCTCCGTCCTGAGACTTGGGAGAGCTTGCCCAGCGTCTCCTGACCAGCAGGTCCTGAGCCTGATTCCGAATCCCAGCAGGCTGAGGGCAGAGCCCAGCTCCTAACAGAGCAGCCTCCATGATGTCCCAGCAGGACAGGGACACGGCTTGTGAGCGAGACGCCCCGGCGTCCCTTGTGGTGTCCTTCCTGTCCTTGAGAGTATGAAATACACGGGGTCCTCAGAGACCTCAGATGTGTTGGCTTCCACGCCAGGGGTCCTCTGCCTGCTGGGGATGTGAACTTGGTAAAGGACTGCAGTGTTGCCAGGTGGAGGATCGCAAGTTCAAGGTCAGTCAAGGCAACTGAGATTGTGTCTTAAAATAAAAAGGGTCAGAGTGGCTCCGTGGTACAGCACTCGCCCAGCATGCAGAGCTCTTGGGGTTGATTCCCAGTAGTACTGCCAAAAGTAGTTTTTTAAACAATGCACGCCAGTGGTGTACTACAGCTGGTGTGCCTTTTTCCCCAAAGCCAGTCCCACACATTTTATCCCAGCGACAACATGTTGGTAGCTGGACAGCGGCTTTAATGGGAGCCTTTAGACCGCAGAAGTCGGCAGGGACGGTCCCTGTAAATCAGGGCTATGTCTGTGTGTCTGCGGGAGAGAGGAAGAGAGACTGACAGCACCCAGCTCATGACTGAGTGGGGTGTGATTCAATCTAGCGCTCTGGACTGCTGGCCAGGGTGAGCGTCCACTCCCACCACCCCATTGCACATGTCCTGTTTTAAAGGGATTGTGTAAAATGTATAAATAAGAGCACACATTTAGAGACAGGGTCAGCACCGTGTCTAATCACTTATCCATTCAGACAGTTGGCCCGGGCGGTGGTGCAGAATTCTGAAGATCTCAGAACTCAGCTTCTCATCCTGGCGCTCGAGGACTTGCAGCTGCAAGGGACACAAAGCCCTAGGTAAAGAATCCGTTCTCACCGTTGTCTCCTGGGGTTGTCTTCAGGCTCGGCGGGAACAGTTAGATCTTTTCATTCCGTGGAGGAGAGAAGGACACAGAGAAAACATAAGCAAAAATGAGCCACTAACACGTGCCAAGCACCCACTGTGTGCTGGGCTGCAGTCTTCTCTGCCAGCACTCCTGGGAGGCCTTTGATTACAGTAATGCCAAGAAAGGCGTTGAGGTAGCTAGCGGACCAGATGTCGCCGTTCCTCCAGGAAGACATTAAAATGGGATAAACATCGTAATACAACTGATCTGTGGTCCGGCAGTGTGAACGCACGTCGTAGACACTGGCAGTGGGGTACCTGTGAGATTTCTGCGTTGAAATCTAGAGAGTTAATTATTGATAAACTATTGACTCTCGAATGCCGCGGGCACCAATTACTTGAAGGAGCTTTCACTTTACAAAGGCTTATTGAGGATCGGAAGAAATGCACAAGCGACATAGCGAATGTTATGGAAAATTATCTGAGAAATGAGCACTGCTGTGGCCACAAAAAAACCAACTGTGCTGTGATACTTTGCGTACTCGGCATAGATCAGCTGCCTTCGTATATAAAATGTTTTAAAGAAATTCATGACTATAAATGAATTCATTTTAACTTAATGTAATCAATAAATTTGTTGATTATTATAGTAGTAAAAATGGGTATGAGTAGTATTAATTAATATTTGGGCAGTGATTATTCAAATTCAAGCAACTAGCTAGATTTGGTCCATTTGTAGACTTTTAATTAATTAATTTTATTAGTAAAAAGGCTGATAAAAGTGATTAGGTCCATTCGTACCACCAGTGAGCAGTGCTGCCCAATGGGACAGGCCAGGGTCTGGCTGTAAAAGGGGTTCCCTGGGCTGGCACCCCTCAGGAGCCAAGCACCAGCAGTGCCTCTGAGGTGGACAGTGCTTTGGCCAGGCTGGCTCTTGTGTTACAGGAGGGATCGGCAAGTGACACACAGAGAGGCGACAGAATGGAAGTAAAATAACAAAAGTTTGCTCCACCGATGGGGATCGATCACGCCTAATGGCGGTGCCCCGATCGACCCCGTACTGGGCTACAACCCCTTCTTTCATAGGGTCGTACAGCCTTGATCTCATTCAGGTGGCCACATTGCGTTTTCAGCTCACATTGCTGATATTCAAAACACGGTGGGGAGGCAGTTGAATTTCAACCCGGATGTAGCACTCCTTTGGTAGGGGACCTTACCTTTAAAATTCATCTAGTTATCGATTCTAGCCCAGGGTCAGCAAGGTTAACAGTGATTCTTTTCATTTACAAAACTTTGAGGGAGACTGGATGCCTCCAGTGCCTGTTGATTCTGAACCAAACAGAGCAAAGGGCTCAAGTTATTTTACTTCGTCGTAACATTTCCTAGGGTTTTTTTGCCATTAAAGCGTTCTGTATCACTGACTTGCTTAGCCGGTGGGGGACAGTATCCCCCCAAATCCCTATGTTGAAGTCCTGACCCCAGAACCTCGGGGCCAAACTGTGTTTGGAGTAGGGGCTTTAAGGAGACCGAAGTTAAGGTCAGACATGACCCGGGGTCCTTCCAAGAGGTGGCGAGGACACAGACACACGCAGGCCCACAGGAGGACACAGGAGGAAACTGGTTGTCCTTGGCCGAGGGGAGAGGCCGCAGGAGAAACCAGCCCTGCCCGCACTTCACCTTAAACTTTCAGGCTGTAAAATAATGAGTTAGTTTCCGGTCTGGTGCTGGCAGTGGCGCCCAAGGGAGCTCCTATGGCTACATTCCCCCTCCTCCGCTGCCGGCTGCCCGATTTTTAACCTTCTTTTGAGTTTTATGATTAAACGCCCAGCACCAGATGTTTACGGCAGATCCAGGTGACTTTCAGCGCTGATGATACACGGGAAAAGTCAGTTTTTATGAAGGAAAACAGGAATCTTACCTCCTGGCCGCAGAACCCCGAGTCAACCTAGGCTGGAATCTGGCGGCCAGGTCAAGAGAGGGGGCTGTCTGGGGGACCGGGGTGGGCCAGGCAGGCACTGGGCGAGACGGGGGACCATGTGCTGGTGGGGAACCAGAGGAGGCTACTTGGAACCTAGGCCGTGCTGTTCGCCGTATGACTTCAAGCAGGTTGCTGAACTCCTCTGAACTTCACCCGCTTGCTCTGTGAAGTGAGGATTACTGTAGCAAACGTGTCGTGGGACTCTTGGGAAATTTTAAACATGATAATAAGTAACAACCCATCAGTTAAAATATGATTATATTAAAGGTATATTCACAGTGAGTTCATACATAAAAGTAAACAGAATAAGTGTTGCAAATAAAAACAGCGTAACATCGAAATTAAATATAATAAGTATGTAACAAGTAACAATACATGCACGCAAATCAGCCAGCCCAGAGCCTAGTCACCGTCGGTGCTCCGATTCTAAAGCTCAGCAGTTGGATAAGGGACTAAGCCTGGCTCAGTGACTTTCCAGAACTCAGGCCAGCAGGAGCCGGGGAGCAGGAGAGCAGCTCAGGTTAAATGCACCAGACTTGGGGATGCTGTGACGGGATGGGTGTGCTGGGGTGGGAGAGCCTGGTTTTACTCAAGGGCCCTAGAGCCACAGCTCTGAGCCCCAGGGAATCAGCCAGTGCAGGCTGAGCTTTTTACAGAGTCCTAGGGCTGCTGGGTTGGTGTCACCCCAGAAGTGGCAGTGCAAGCAACACACGTTTACCCTCCCTCAGCTCTGGAGGCCACAAGTCCCAAGGTAGCTTTCCCTGAGAAAGGCAGGCTCCTGGGAGAATTCTTTTCCTGTCCGCCTGCCTCTCGCTGCCTGCACCCTCGGCCCATGCCTGACCTCTTCCTCCGTGCTCACAGCTCTTATTTCCTGCCCTGACTCAGGACGCCTGTAACTGCCACCTGGACAACCCAGGGAAATCTCCTGTCTGGGGACCTTAGCTGAGTCACCTTGTACGACGTAAAGTCTCACTTTTACTCCGTGGAGCGTGAACAGCCAAAAGGTCTCCACGATGCTGAGCCCTAAAGCTCGGCGAGGCTCCAGGAGCTTGTCGGACAGCGAGAGTCACCCAGGAAGGAACACACGGGTCTGGTTGGCAAATAGACCTTTATTAGTCTGGCCAGACGGCACTCCCGGAGCCAAGCAGCTCAGAGAGGCAGCTAGCTTGGAGTCAGAGGCCATTTTATATAGGGCTGAGGGGGCAGTTAACACTCGAAACTTACAGGAGGGGGACAAAGGCAAGTGGTCAGTTGATCTGAGCTGGTGGTCATCAGTCATGTACTCGACCGTTACGTACTAATGGTCAGCAGATCGATTACCCATTGTTTTATAGATTGCGGTGTTCAGAACATTCAGTTACGGGCAGACAGGGAGTGGAGTGAGTTATTTTGAGTCTCTGTGTTTGTTACAGTTTCTCTCTAGTTTCCCAGCGACTCCCAAGCAGTTACCTAGTAATTAATCATCACTTATCCTATAAGGGAGGAACAACAATCTCTGGCTCTTTTGCTGGTCAACATGGAGCCGCTCTAGTTCAGTAAGGTCTTACGACCTCACAAAAGCGCTTTTACTTCTAAAGTAAGGAGTTACAGCCTGGTCCATCGCCTGTGTGCCTTTTCCCACACTCAGGACCTTGTGTGGGGCAGGTGCACTGTCCTGAGCCAGACCCTCCTCTGCTGTGGCTCTGTCCTCACCCTCCTGGGCCCCGCAGTGGTGGATGGCTGCTCCCCTGTCTCTGAGGGTCTGAAGGTGGCACCTGACCCATCCGAGCAGCTTCTCCCTGCTGGGTCAAGGCCCTTCACGGACTGACCTGATTCTGCCTAGGAGTCCCTGGAAACTGCCACGCAGGCTCCTGTGCCAGGGCCCTTGTCCGTGATCCCCTCCTCCTGGAACATCTATCCCTGATCTCCATATTGTCCTTCGAACCTTTGCTCAGATGTCACCTCCTCGGGGACACTGTGCCTGACTCCCCACAGCCTTCTATTCTTTAGCTGGTTCCACCATCTGACCTTCCACAGACTCGGTCTACTACGTGGCTGGCTGGGGGGCATCTCAATCCCAGCACTTGCGGGAGGCGTTGGCAGACCAGCTGCCCAGTCACTAGTGTGTGGGGTGGCTGAATAAATCCCTGTAACTCAGCCAGGTATGGTGGTGCACACACCTGTAATCCTAGCCTTCTGAGAGGCTGAGGCAGGAGGATCACAAGTTCAAGCCTAGCCTGGGCAACTTAGTGACTTAGTAAAAGCTGTCTGAAAAAATTTAAAAGGGGCTCTGGAACACAGTGTGGAGACCTTGGGTTTAATGCCAGTACCAAAACAGAAACCGAAAACCCTCACACTGGTAACTCTTAACAACCAGTGAGGTAGACTTTCAGATAAATCCCCTCGGCAGCCCACAGCACTGGGGGGCAGGCAGGCCAGCCTCTCCCCCACCCCGCCTGCCCACCCCCGGCCCCGGACCGAGATCGCCGAGGTTGTGCTTGCCGGCATCTCCTGGCCGTGCCCGGAGGGGATGTGCCCGCCCCAGCTCCCATCCTCAGGCTGAAGGCTGTGCTTTGGGCTCCCTGTGGACCAGGAGGGCTGTGTGGACAGGGACTTCGGCTTCCTAAGCTGAGGCCTGGGGCAGGTGTCTCAGCCCCTCTGGGCCTCAGCCTGCTCCGGGATAAAATGCCAAAGGCAGGAGTGACCACAACCTCCTAGGTTTGTCTGTTGAACAAAGAGCTACTCTGCTGAGCATGGACTCGAGGGCAGCCTGGCATCCACACCTGCATGTGGCCTCCCTGCCAGAGTGACAAGCCAGCCGCGACTCACTGGGGCGGGGGAGGGGAGCTGGGCCTGCCCCGCAGGCCGGGGCGCATTCTGGGAAGGCCCATTTCCCACCACCAGGATTACCAGGGCCTCCCTCCCCCCAGAATACCTCACCAACTCCTGCTGCCAGAGAGAATTCTAGAAACTTCCACACACTAAGGCCTCACAGAGCTGTTTCCTTATCCTCCT